GAGGTTCCACACCCAGCCTTATCACATGAGCATTCGTATTCAGTCTTCAGCTGAGCCTATATGGTGAATACCTTGTTTAGTGTCATGTGTGTGAGCACCGGAAAAGGATAGGGGAATCCACAAATATTTCTGATTTTGTTCTTTTCCAGTGGTTTTTTTTTTTAATACAAGACACACCCATCAAAAGGGTTTATACATGATGTAAGGCTCCAGCAATAAAAATAAAAGTCCAGGCTTTCTTAGATTCCAGGATGGCAACTTGAGCCGCAGGAGCAGAATTGATGAACATTATTAGGAATATTCGAAATCAGGAATGGCAATTCAACGCACATTATTCCCTTGAATTTGAAGTTTACGCAGTTTGTTGAACAACTCCAGGTACTGTGTCATGGTGTCAACGCAGTCGGCCGGTGCAAAAATGCCTTCAGGCTTGGCAGCAAAGACAGATGGCAGGTCTGGGACACTGGGGCCCAAGAATGACTGCATAAACTCCTTCATTAGATTCCAACAGTCCCCTGGAACCACACAGGGACAATATTCCACCTGCAGAGAGAGTGAGTGCAGTTAAAACAAAGTGAGGTTGTGGGATCATTGGCAGTGTGCCCTTACTTCTACTGATATTCCTCTGGCACTTGAGCTCATGGTCACTGTGCCAACTTTGATCAGGAAGTCGCAGTAGCGGTATCGTGACCCCCGGCACTCCACTTTGTGGCCTTTGGCATTCTGGAAGTGGCTCTTTAGCTTCACCATAAGAACGTCAAAGTTTGCATCAGCTACCAAGCAGGGCCCGTTCTCAAACAGAGCCAGGCAGCTTAGGGGGGTTTCCGAGTTGTGCATCACATATAAGAGTTTGGAAGGTTGGCCTGCAACACAAAGGTAGCACTATCACTATTACTGTTGTTTTAAATTCAGTATAATGCAGCTCCTACTTTTCTACGGACTTTCGAGGGTTACAAACCATTTTTATAACTTCAGTCTAAACACACACACACGCACACACACACATCTACAAAAGTTGTAATTGTACTCCAAGATAATGTTCTGTATATTATATTTATATTCATTATATTTTGCCTTTGTTGAACTAAATAAGGTGAGCAAAATACTAGGAACATCCTGTGATTCAGTTTACTCTAGTTTTACACTACTGAAAACCATAACCATATTAAAACAAAATATTGTGAATGCAAAAACTACCACCGTGCCGCCCGAGAAGAACAGTGCCCCCAAAAACGGAGCTGCCCTGCTGCACATTTGAACACATATTTCAAATGAAACATGTAGCTAAACGGAATAACAGCCTTAAGTATTACCACTGACAGTTCCAGTCGCATGGTACGTCTCACAGTCGACACAGAAGCTGCCTTGTTTCACAGCTCCCAGCTGCTCTAGTTTCTTGTGCACCATATCCACAGTCTGCTGCACGCTCTTCCCCTCTGCCACCGGCACCTGGCACACACTAAGTTACAAACATTGTTTTAAACTCAACAAACAGCAAAGTGATCACAAATTTGCGACTGAATATGATTACTCAGTGATAACTATTCAACAGCACATTATTGTGCCATTAGAGATCATCAGATGTACCACAAACCTATTTCCCTTAATTGGTCAGAAAATATTAATTCTTTACCATAAATGCACCGTTGTTCATCTATCCATGCCAGTGATGTATCATGACAAGTAGTACAATTAAATGTCCTCCCACTAGATGGTTGGGGGTACATAATTTATCCCATTCATTCAAAAGAATAAGTCATGGCAGACACAGGTCAGTACTTGTGTGAGTAAACTGAGACGAGCAAATGATTATTTCAGCATGCAGTGTCCAACTATTGTTTATATTTGGTGGTATACCGTGAGATTTTCACATGTAAAACATACGCCTTGTCCCAATAAAGGTTGAGAATTACAGCCTAGTTACGTTCGTGAATCGACAAAGCGATGCTGTGGACCGGAGATAAAGCAGAAGGGTTATATGCGCGTTAAAACGCAATAGGTTTAATGAGTGACAATGCGAACCGTACACTGATACAATAAGGAAATAAAACCTCACCAAGTAACACCCATTTTATTATAATTGTTTGTTGCCAGATGCCGTCTTCAAAGTAGGCTGAATACTTCCGGGTGAAGTTCTTCTTCGTCTTGGTTATTGACGGTGAATTTGGGTCTTCCGGTAAAAATTAGTCCAACAAAAAAAAACAACACGTAAAACAATATTCATTATGATATTTTTATTTAGTATGAACGATATTAACTACATGCTAGAGAAGAAAAAATATAGTGGAGCATTTTGAGAGGTGAACATATTGAGGATGTGACGTAATGGACGACTTCCTTTTGAGAGACATTGGCACGTGTTTGGCTAACTTCTGTTTACACCGTTAAAACGATTTAAAAGTGAGTTAACATACCTGGACGAATTTATGAACGTTTTTATTACAGACTAAACAAACCGCAACCATGCCGAAAGTGAAAAAATCTAAAGGAGGAGGTGACAAGCGAGGGCAGTCGGACACTCTGGTTGACCAAATGCTACAGGGCGACACCGTTCGAAGCAAAGGTCGAGTGAAACTTCGGGACGATCGGATTGAGGGCGAAGACAATTACGTGAACGAACGTCTGTCCAAGAAGATCTTGCAACAAGCCAGAATTCAACAAGAGGAACTCCAGAGCGAATATGGCCTGGTGCCAAAGAAGAAAGCACCCGTCACTTTTCTTGGTAAGGCTACCAAGACATGTATTGGGACTACACTATAAACAATAAAACTCACATGTTGCAATGGAGCTTGTTTTATCAATGGCATTTCAAGCAAATTCATAACAATCTTCCAATTGAACCTCCTAATGTTTTGCAATATACTGCATAAAGATGGCGTAAAGTTGCCTCTGCACCCTTAATTACTGCAGTGCTTACTGTATTGCATTTGATTGTTTTCATTTATGGACTACAGGTATTTTTCATAAAAATGTTCACCGTCATTGTGATTAGGGTATTGACGGACTACAGCATGGCTGTACAAATTTTGTTATATTGTCATACCGTACAGTTTTTCTGCATTTACTTTTTAGATTCTTCATGGTAACATTTTTCACACAAATGTGCCAAGTGGAACACAAGGACTTCTCTAAAAATGTTTTTTTTTCCCCTTGAAATGATTTTTCAGGTCCCTCATCTCAGGATGCAGATTCAGATGAGGAGTGGCCAGCGCTGGGAGCAACCGTTGGTAAAGGTGACACCAACGCTGTGTATGATACCGAAGTTGTGGTTGACGCAGATGACGAGAAAGCCATTGAGATGTTCATGAATAAGAACCCCCCAATGAGGCAAGACCCCAGTAGCATCTCGGCTTTGGATGTACATAATCATACACAAATAAATGATTTGTGTGTATGTGTTTTTTTTTTTTGTCTTGCAGGCGAACCTTAGCAGACATTATAATGGAGAAGATAACAGAAAAACAGACAGAAGTAGGAACAGTCATGTCAGAAGTATCTGGCTGTCCGATGCAACAACTTGACCCCAGAATAGTAGAAGTGTATAGAGGTGTCAATAAGGTGAATGGTCTTAAAATTAGACACTTGCACTTTTGCTGCTGACATATACAGTTTAAAACAATAAAATAATGAAAGAATTTAGAATTTTGTTCTTATCCAAGTGCATTTGGCATCTTGAGGAGATTCCAGTTGGAATTTAAATGTGTTTTTGTGTTATTTGCGCTTCAGGTCCTGTCAAAATATCGCAGTGGAAAGTTGCCAAAGGCTTTTAAAATAATACCGGCACTTTCAAACTGGGAGCAGGTCCTCTATTTGACTGAGCCCGAGACCTGGACGGCAGCTGCCATGTATCAAGCGACGAGGTCAGTTCTCTGCATGACACGAATGAGGATTTTATCAGAATGACAGTCTTCAGTACGTTGATTTGCTTTTGTTGCAGAATCTTCTCCTCCAATCTGAAAGAGCGAATGGCCCAGAGATTTTACAACTTGGTGTTGTTGCCCAGAGTTCGGGATGATATTGTTGAGTACAAAAAACTCAATTTTCATCTTTATAGTGCTCTGAAGAAGGCTTTGTTCAAACCAGGGGCGTGGTTTAAAGGTGAGACGTTTGCTCAAGGCCAAGCTAACGACATCCCATACTGAGGTGTTTCAAAAATTCAGTCTTTCCAGAGTGAATAGTCATCAGTTTTATTCATGCAACCTGAGAGATATTCATTTAATAATATGTTTATTATTGTGGTTGTATTTTTTGCAGTGGTGTACAGCACTAAATCTTATTAACAGCTGTTTCTCTCTCACTTTGTCTAGCGAATAAAAGTTCACAAAATATTAATACTGTCTTAATAAGTCTGAGTCCAGTATCCCAATAATAAACATATTGTTAAATGACTTGCTCTCTGAAAGTTTCCATCCAAATAAACACTGCCACTCTAATTTTTAGCTTATATTCAGCTTCCTCAGCAATGTAGTTAAATCTGTGGGCTTGAATACCAAATTATTTCTGGTATTTGTCAGTTTTTGGTTCACAATGTCCACTGACACCAATTTTTTCCATTCTGGAAATAAGATGTTGCCATAATATTATTAAATCATTTGGTATGTGGAATTTTCGTCGCACGTTTCGAAACGATCATTGTGTAACATGTCCACTTGGTGGCAGTGTTGTTTACAAAAACATAATGCTGCTGCTCCTTGGAGTTTATTGATTAATGAGCCGCAATTGAAAATTTCAGTCTGCGTTAAGATGGTTACTGAAAGTTACTAAGAATAGGTACTTATGAACACGCTTGAGTTATTCATTTTTACGATGTTGAAGAAAGTTTGTATAATGTTTTTCTTGTCCTTGAACACAGAAAATTATATTCAGACTTAGTTTATACTTTTTACTTTCATATTTGTAATTTAGTGAAATCAGGTCCAGAACCACCATTGTCTTTCTTATCTATACAAAATAACTCACCGTATACAATTAGAATATATAATTATCCTATATATATATATAAAACAGAGAGAGAGAGCTATAATGTTTACCTTGAGAAAAGCATTAATAAGTATTAATCGTGGTCTGATTCCATTATGTTTTTTTGCTCTCAGTTCTATAACTCGTTAAGATGGTTACTGAAAGTTACTAAGAATAGGTACTTATGAACACGCTTGAGTTATTCATTTTTACGATGTTGAAGAAAGTTTGTATAATGTTTTTCTTGTCCTTGAACACAGAAAATTATATTCAGACTTAGTTTATACTTTTTACTTTCATATTTGTAATTTAGTGAAATCAGGTCCAGAACCACCATTGTCTTTCTTATCTATACAAAATAACTCACCGTATACAATTAGAATATATAATTATCCTATATATATATATAAAACAGAGAGAGAGAGCTATAATGTTTACCTTGAGAAAAGCATTAATAAGTATTAATCGTGGCCTGATTCCATGATGTTTATTTGCTCTCAGTTCTATAACCCTAACACCACTGCACAAATTGGCACTCTACATGGCCACTGTCGCAACCATTGGAATTTATTGCCATTGTATAAAAGATGCACACTTATCATTTTATCAGCTTTGAAAAAAAACATTCATTACATAATCACAGTCATATTTCAGCAACATGTGTTGATCATATGACCTACTAAAACACACTACGGTACTTGTTTTGAAAGTAAAATCTGTACTCAAAACCAAACAAAGGTGAGTTAAGGTGGTTGGTGCAATTTTTTTTCATAGAGATACACCGCATATAAATTTAAAAAAGGTGAAAATTTAATCTTAATCTTTAATCTTGTTTGTCCCACAGGTATACTGATACCCCTGTGTGAATCTGGGACATGCACTCTCAGAGAGGCAATCATCATCGGAAGCATCCTGACGAAGTGTTCTATCCCTGTGCTCCACGCCAGGTAAAAATTGTCTCCTCACATACACTATGTTATTGTGTTGGTATTCTTGTTTAATGATGCAAAATCGTTTATCTGATTACTTGATTCATCAATGGGATAATCCCCACATTCCTACATACCCACTTGGGCTACGGCAAGTAATGAGGGACAAGCTTACTTTACATTTTGAAATATAACAAAAAGATTGCAGACAAACACATCCAAACCAACCACATCACTAACATGGGCGAGGTGCCGCCCACTTTCGAACAGCACGGTAATAATACGCACAACCGGGCACGTGAAGTCATCTTTTACTGTTAGGTTTAGTTGCCATGGTAAACGGCCAATGTGACGTTGCCAGCGGCGTGGGAGCGATGCCGAACACAGCTTTACTGCACCGTGCGAGGGCTACGGCAAGTAATGAGGGACAAGCTTACTTTGCATTTTGAAATATAACAAAAAGATTGCAGACAAACCACATCCAAACCAACCACATCAATAACATGGACGAGGTGCCGCCCACTTTCGAACAACACGGTAGTGATGCGCACAACGGGACGCGTGAAGTCAGCTTTTACTGTTGGGCTCGGTTGCCATGGTAATGGACAGAAACCACCAATGTGACGTTGCTTGCTGCGTGGGAGCGATGCCGAACACAGCTTTACTGCGCCGTGCGAGTTGCACCGCAATTTGTGATCGTACTGTGGAGGCTTGTGCCAACATGTCTCCTTGCACTGTTGTGTCTTCGCAAAAGCCGGCATCATTTCTGAGGAGCCGCTCGGCAACGAGACTGACTCTGACAATGATGCGAGGCAACATGGCATGTTTGATTGTGAACTTGCCCGGTTGTTCACAATGATCATAATGTTTTGATTATGAAAGTAATTCACTCCCACACTGGCCAACGGGCCACTGCAGATGTTGAACTGTGCATAAAAAACTTGTGATAGTTGAAATAATTTGGCGTGAGTACAATTGTTGCGCTAATAAAACTTAGAATAAATTTGTAGGCCTACAAGTACAAGGCGGCTGCATGATCCATGGTTTTTAATATTTGTAACTGTAAAACATGTATAAAGTGATAAATTGTTTTTTAACCTTTCAGCGCCACAATGCTCAAATTGGCAGAAATGGAGTACAACGGTGCCAACAGCATTTTCCTGCGTCTGTTACTCGACAAGAAATACGCCCTGCCTTTCCGTGTGCTCGATGGCTTGGTGGCTCACTTCCTATCTTTCCGCACCGAACAGCGAGTACTTCCTGTGCTCTGGCACCAGAGTTTCCTCACACTCGCTCAGCGATACAAGGCTGACCTTGCCTCCGAACAGAAGACGGCGCTGCTAGAGCTGCTCAAGATACAAACCCACCCTCAGATCTCGGCAGAGATTCGCAGAGAACTACAGAACTCAGAGTCACGGGATATTGAAATCGGGATCCCCGCAAATATTGACATGGACTGAGAATTTGTGAAGCCCCCTATCCCCCTCCCATGAAAAATCAGTTGAACACAGTACATCGGACAGAGTTGAAAAAGCACATCAGTGCTCATATGTGTTCTCAAACAGGTTTTCCTCTGAATTGCAGTTTCTGCACAGAAATGCCGTGTATGTGTGTTTGATGATGACTACAATTCAAAGCAGCAATTTGTATTAAAAGCAAACTGAATCCTTAACAATTGGGAATGGAAATCACCTTATTTCTCTCCTGCGTGTGTGTGTTCCTCCATTTCCAAAGATAAGATATTGAGGAGTGTAATTAATCTAATTCAAACAATCCATGTTTTTCATGCTTATCCTCATTGTGCCTGATGATAAATTTGGGCTAGAGGCAGGGTACACCCTGGACTTGTTAGCTTTCAATCACTGGGCACATACGGACAAACAACCTGTCACGTCTATGGACAATCTGGAGTCTTAAATGATGTGATCTGTTCATATTTTATACTACTTGTCTCATGGTTTCCTTTTAATACCTTTAATACCTCAACTACATTTTTAAAATAGAAAATATTCACCATCGTATCCGTTAGGTTCACCATCAAGTGGATGGTTTTTCTGAAACACAATCAATATAAATTACAAGACATGGTAAAATCCGTCGTGCAGAAGGTTTTTATTGGTCAAACATTAAAGCAGAAAATGGAAATATCTAACAAAGCCCGATGTGCGACAAAAAAGTAGAGATTTTAAAAATTCACGTCAAAAATACTTATTAGGACACATACAGCCATCTCCGATTAAGACCAGCGTTATCTACAGTAGTTGAAAAATTGGTACCAGTCCCATGAAGTGTGGCTAAATCTGAACAACCGGTTTGTTCATAGAGCAGCAATTGTATGCTAACATTTAAAGAGATTTTGGTCTCTTTATAAACAAAAATGTCTATGGTGGACACCAAATCTGTTAGCCCGGTAAGTTTTTCCAGTTTGGTCGACTTTATAAGATACCTCCTCTGATATCTTATTTATACATGCCCCGCGAGTTTTAAAGAGAAACATGTGCTCGTATTTACGGCAATAATATCGAAGGAAACTCAAACACGCTAGCAGCTAAGCTAATACAAATGGGCGTTAAGAATGAATTCTTCGTGAAATAACAGTAAATTCTCGTTCAAATGACTAAATTTTAAAAAGATGTGTTAAAGAAGACATACCGATTCATATTTTCCCACAAATTGAAACTGTTCCTAGGAGTTATAATTTCTTTAGCATGCTTTTATCCCATTACCCCAATTATGAAGAGTCATCACTTTTAATTCATGTTAATATACAGTATAAATTTAATCTACATTTTAGTTTGCCAGCTCTTGATATTTAAAATTATTCAAAATTTTGCAGAACACTTTATACTGAAAGATCCAATTGCTCATTTGTTTATGATATTTAGTGTTTGTTCTTAATCTAACTTTTTCCAAGGATAAATATTGTGTCCCTCAACTGGTGTTTGATTATGACGTCGCTGTACGGGCGGGCTACGACTTGGAATTAGTTGGGAACCTCCGTGCTGTTCAGAACCTGAGAGCCCTGGAGGTGGGCACCAGTCGCCGAATGTCTTCTCACTTGCCTGGAATCCAGCAGAACATCCAGGCGCTCAAGAGGAAGACAATGATCATCTGGATGTTCCAGGTATTCTAACAGTTTTATGTGTGAGTTTAATAGGGTTTCTGTGGTGCTAACTGTGTTTTCCTCTAGGTATGTGAGGAGCAGAAATGTGAGGAAGAGGTGTTCCCTCTTGCGGTCCACTACCTGGACTCTTACCTGAGCCGCCATGCTGTGCGAGACTCTATGCTGCAGCTTTTAGGGGTCGTCACCATGTTGCTGGCCTCCAAGATGAGAGAGATGGTTCCTCTGACAGCCAGCAAGCTCTGCATCTACACCGACTTCTCTATTTCATTGCCAGAAATCCTGGTAAATGTGTCTCCTGAACATGCAATCAATGATCACTATCCAGACTTCCATCCATCCATATTCTATACTGCTTGTTGTCATTAGCGCTGGGGCCTATTCAGGTAGGGTAAACCTTGGAATGGTCACCAGCCAATCACAGCGGATATAGAGACGAACAATCATTTACAACTAAGGACAGTTTAGAGTTGTCAAAGTTTTGGGAATAGTTTACAGCTTGGCTTGCTTTAGCTAAAACAGCATTGACTGCCTGAAATTTTCCTCAAGGCTGGATAGCTGTTATGGCGGGAGTCACCTGCCATTCCGGTAGTCAAAGAATCCTAGATTTCTGACGTATGTACGTTCCATATACAGTAATACTATTGCAACAAGGTATCGTATTAAGATCCAAAACACAAGAAAAACTAAATACGGTATAATGAAAAATCCCAAAGTATTATAACCCAGGTGACATCAGAAAATTGTCTATAAATCTTCTGAATGTGACTGAAACATTTCAATAAGATGCATACAGTGGGGAAATCCATCCATCCATCCAGCCAACTATCCATTTTCAACACTGCCCACACAGAAATCCGGCGTGTGTATAATTACACTATCAGCGACACAAGAGGAAATGTGGGGACAAAAATCATGGTTCTTCTTTGAATGGGTTCTTTCCTTTGGCCCTACCTTATCCTTTCACAAATCTAAAAATATAACAATGCTTTGTCATACTTGACAGTAGACAGCAAGGTAACCAAACTATTAGAAACACACTTTTTAATACTGCTTGATAAAAACACAATCCTAATGCCTGAATTAGTCTACCATGACCTGTTGTCACCAAAATAGTAGGTACCGGTAGATGGTTCACTCAAAGTGTTTCCCAACTTGTCACAGCAGAGTCTGAAGGTTAATAGGACAAAACAGCAGAAAAACATTTGAGCTGCACAAACATTCCTCTAGTGTTCTTTTTCCCCCCCTCTCCATAAACTGGATCATTTATTTTTTCAATTCCCTAAAAGGATCTCTTAAATGACACCGTTTGGTTAAACAGGTCACAACAGGCATTTATTGATGGTTCATGGGCAGCTATAAATTTTGAGGCACTGCTAATTACACAATCAGGCATGGTAAAATCCTGTGTGTGTGTGTGCGTGTGTGCGTGTGTGTGTGTGTGTTTTGCAGCAGTTCGAGGTGTCACTGGTGTCCAGGTTAGACTGGTGTCTGGCCTCTGTGCTCCCCTCTGACTTCCTGGAGCCAATTCTTCACACGCTCTCCTTTCTCCAAGCCCAGCATCTTCCCAACGTGCGACGACATGTTCACTCCTACGTCGCACTGGCAACCATCGGTGAGTTGCATAACAAAGTTACATAAAATCCGGCAAACGTCAATATGAATTGTGCACTGATAAGATCACAGTGCCAGCTATTTATTTATTTTTTTTATTATTGCTTGACATTGCACCCCTTGCGTTTGAACACATTTTATCATTATATCCTGCAAGGATATCTTAATCTCCTTTTGTTTTCCTACTCACTTTGGTAAATGTTTAACTTTGTGGAAGGATGTAGCATGCCTTCATCTTAATAAGGTTGACCACTACTAGCCCCTCAAAAAAAAGCACGAAATAGCAGCTCTCTCTAAACACTGCTGCTGGAGTTCCAACCAGGGCCAACTGAGCCCATGACACCGATGCCAAGTTAATGAATCAATTTTAAAGTCGTGCTACAAGTCTTCAAAGCATTTCGTACTTGAGGCCCAGAGTTCCTTACTGATATGTTTGAAAAATGATAAACCAAGAAGATACTACAAGGTCAGCCGAAGTTCTCGGTCACCATATATGTGACATTAACCGTCAGTGGTCGAACATATTCATCATCTCCTCATCATTGTAACTTTTGAGGATATTACAATGCTAGAAATAAAACCTGAAAAAGACCTCACGTTCCGCTGTTGCTGTGCATTAGCTCCACAGCCTCTATTTACATAAAATCTCCTGACAGCCACATGATGATCTTTCATTGTTTGTTAGCGAGGCTCATTCCAATTGATACAACTAATTGGGTGTGGTTCCCACAACTAATGAGGGACAACTATTTCGAAGGAAATAGTCAACCGCTCCAAACCAAAGCAATGCGGGCCATTGTGAGCCATGTAGGTACCATATAGTGAAATAAGATATTGATTTGAGTCATATGATCATGCCCAAAGGGCAAATTAAACATTGGGAAGTATCCATTCATCCATCCATCCATCCATTTTCTGATTCACTTATCCTAAATGTTCCATTAACTTGCCATGCATGTTTTTGGAATGTGGGAGGAAAAACCGGAGTACCCGGAGAAAACCCACGCAGGCACGGGAAGAACATGCAAACCCCACACAGGAAGGCCAGAGCCGGAATCGAACCCTGCACCTCTGCACTGTGAGGCTGATGCGCTCACCAGTCAGCAGCCCCATTGGAAAGTAGTAGCAAAAAAAAAAAAAAAGAAATTGCCTACACAAAATGTAGACATTTTAAAATCGGATTAAAAGCAGATTTATTACACTGAACGTTTCTATCCACATATTTCACACGTTTAAATATGTTTAATATTTACTTCAGGGCTTGCCTTGCTTGGCACGTCATCGAACAGTGTGTTCATCATTAACATATGTCTTAATTTCTGAAATCCAGACCGAGTTCAGCAGGAAGGTTTGTTTAATTAAAATGTTATAGTTTGGTATTGATCATAAACTTAAGATAGTCGTGTCTGGGCAGAGGTCTATGCTTGCCTGCCATTGTAGTCATTTTCAAACTGAGCGTTAACTGTGGAAATAAGGTGACTTTGACCATTGGGAACAGTGGATGCTCTGCAGCTATAAGTTTGATTGTGTTGTGTCAGCAGTTCATTTCGGAGACAGAGAGCTGAGTTTGTGTAATTCAGTATTGTGTGCAGTGAATGACCGCTGTCCCCCTATTCAGCCCACGCTTCTCACGAAGCTCTGCGGTGCTGCCCCAGGCGACAGCTTTAGATGCTCTGTGACACAAAAAAACCCCACCAAAAAAGTTATGACAACTCGCAGTCCCCTTACATTGTGACCCATTCGCAGAGGTGCGTAGGGAAGGCTTGAACGATAGACTTGGCGTCTCGGCACTTCTCCTCCCTGGGGCGTTGAAGATGATATGTCCGATTGTCATGTTTTAGCCAATGACAGCTTTTAAAGTGCTTTTGTTCCTCATACATGCAAAACAAATAACTTCTGCATTTTGAAATTGTACTTCTGTCTTCTTGAATATGACTTCTGTATTTTCCATCCAGTGAAAATGTCTGTAAATGCGTTGGGGGATAAGAACGATGAAAGTATTAAGTCAATTAAACAAAACAGATTTTAAAAAAATGTTTTTAAATTGATGATCAATTGTTTCTTCTGAGCATTAGTTTATGTTCTCATTTATACAAAATACTAAGCACTCAACACTTAGACATGTTACTTCACTGAGGTATTTGCTTTCCAGAGTTCTATGTTCCATGTACTATTTCTTCATTTATTCCCAGAGTTGAAGTCTTTTGACTTTTTGCCCTCCACCCTTGCTTGTGCCTGTGTGAGCACCGCAACACAGAGGCTCAACTTGGTGGACTCCCCTGACTCACTGCTCAAGTTTCTGGCTAATCTCTTGGTCATTGATCTGGTAAGGATCATGTTTACAGTTTCACTTTCAACTGCAGTGGAAAACACGGGTTTCGTGATGAAAAAAAGTCTAACTGAAACCAAACTGTACAAAAACAACAGCAATATTTCCCATAGGTAAGTGCTATTACTCCATTCCAGGCACCCAAAAACATAAAAAAATACAAAACAATATGAAATAATGACATGAATTGACGAATAACACCAGAAAAAGTCACGACACAGAAGTGATATTTTCTGAAAAGCTTAAACAATACAGTATGAAAATGATAAATATGAAATAATGAAACTCATCATACAAGGCCAGTCCCAGTTCCGGGAGGGCCATCACAACATGGCTCATGATGGTGCGACTGAGCCACCACCCGAATCGGCTTCATGTGGAACCCTTTAAATTTTTTAAAAACAAAGCATCTGTACAAAAACCGGGATAAAATTGTGGTGAAAAAAAAAGCTTGAAAACCGAAGTGTACGAAAGCTATTCATACTAAAACCGAGCTTCCACTGTGCATTCATTATAGCAGATGCTTTTATTCGAGTGACCTGCTCAAGCAAAAAAATAACGACCAGCAACCGCACGCAATCGAATATCGATCAGCGTTCATGTTCTCTCTGACCTGCTATTGAACCTTTGTTCTTTTGTGCTTCACCTCGGCCACAGGGCTCCGTCCTCCTCTGCTACAGTCAGCTGCAGAGAGCAGTGGATCTCATCCTGCCTTCTTCCCCTTTCCAAGCCGCTGTTTGCAGATCAGAGGTCAGTCAGGCTCCCGCTGATGTTGACCATCTTTTATTGACGTCATTGACGCCCGCTGAAAGCCAGCTGGAAACCCCGCCCTGACACCACAGGCAAGTGTGAATGTGGCGGGCATGAAATGTCTTTGCTTGCACATAACAAGTTAATCACAGCATTAGATCACAGGCAAGTGTGAATGTGGCGGGCATGAAATGTCTTTTTGCTTACACATAACAAGTTAATCACAGCATTAGATCAGTTATGGGGGTTGACACAGGTTGAAGATGTGATGCAATGTTGCAGATTGTTTTGAGGTACTTTCAAAGTTACCCCAGCTTTCAAACACTTCAATGTTGCAGATTGTTTTGAGGTACTTTCAAAGTTTCCGCAGAAGCTTTCAAACACTCATTCGTTGTTGGCCATTTACATTGGTATGCCTTTATTACACCACACACTTGGTACTCAAAGCTAGCCATAATCACTCGAGTTTCAAATGTTTTAGATTGCATCCATGTCCTATGTTTGGAATCTAAATCTACTGTAAACGTGTTTGGCTTCAACATCAATGTTACCGTAAATGTGTTCAATCTCTGTATCTCGAGTTTCAAATGTTTTAGATTGCATCCATGTCCCATGTTTGGAATCTAAATCTAATACATAAAATAATTGCATGTAAATGACTGACAACATGAGGCAGCACTTGCGTACTTTTTATTTTCTTTTATTGATGCACTCATCCCAGTCACAAGAGTGTCATACCAGGCGATAACTTTGGCACATGGAAGAAAAATCGAGTTCTCAACAAAATGAACATGAAATTGTACCAAAAAAAATATGAACACTTGCTTTCATGAACACTGCTCCTTAAATTCTTGAAATGACAAAAACTAGCTGAAATGTTGACAATTTCAACCTCTCATGCACTGTATACACATTCACATCGGCTTTACATTCTGGAGAACCTTCAGTTTGTCAAAGAAAAACTGAAACACAAACATTGCCATACCACCATTCCAGTTTCAGGAGGTTTGCAGTTCTGGGTACTTTTTTTTTGGTTTTATGTGCAATTATAAAAGTAATTTCACCCCATTTATCGGCTATTGTGTAATAACTTGTCACTTTCTGATGTTATTATTCACTGTTGTGATTTCGAAATAATGTGAGGATTTCCAGTGTGAAATAAAAGTTGGATGTCCTGGAACAAAATCAAGAGCCTATATGCCAAATATTTCTTTCATAAGCATTTCAATATCATAACGCAGAATGGACACGTCTGTTCACTGTATTTGTAAGGAGTATTCACATTTAAGCTATCAAAGAAATAATAAAACCTCTTATCTGGCTTTAATAAATTTTCCGTAGTTCTTCCAAATAAAATGCAGGACCTGAGCCATAAACCCAAAGACACCCAAGCACCATGAGCCATCATTTACTTCATCCGTTACACATTAACATTTAGTTAATAAAGCTCACTATTTACTTCAAACAAATGCTGCCGTTTTTCCTGAAGTGTGACTGGAAAACATCTGTTGACAGACAGTGGCTATACCTGTGCACATGCAATAGTGTAGATTTGGGTGTAGCAGCAGGTTTAACAGGTTACGCTGGTTATGCGTCAGTTTGTTGTTATTCCTCTCGTCTTTCAAATTTGGACCGCATCATTTCAAAAGAACACACGGATTGGAAATAATTAGTCCTGAGCACTTGTGCATTTAAAGACAAACACATCCGCGAGTGTTTTAACGAGACTGGTCTTTGGCATCAGGAATTGTTGGAAGTTTGCTTCCATCATAAAATGCAGTAAAAGCTGCAACAACGAATATCGAGAAGCAGGACTCAAGTTGAACCTGACTGACAATGACATTAAATTATAAAAGTGCTATGAAGCCATAAATACTTTTCTTAAGTGTCTGGGTGGAAAAAAAACAAAAAAACAACCCCCAAAAAATGACTCTGGATACCATAATAGGTCCAAGCAGGATCCCCAAATGACCGATGTCCTACAAAAACTTACATTCAAGATGTTTTGGTTTTAGGGTGATTTTTGATGATGCTCTTTATTTATTCAAAGTTTGAGCACCTGAGACTCCACCTCGCATTTTTTTACAACAATCATATTTTAACCTGACTGAGCCATAAAGTATCTCTCCCTTTTCCCTTTTTTTTGGCGTGTGCAATTCCTGATGTTGGCCGCTAAGATGCTGCCGATTGATATCTTGTCAGAATGCACTTTGGCATATGATCGAGAGACATGTGCGAAAGCGCCTTCATTGGCGTTCATCTCGGAGCAGGGCTGTGAATCATCAAGGCCTGCTTGTAAGCCTCAGTGACATTATCGCAGTCTGTAATGGAGAAGGCACTGTCAGCCACTCCGGCATCGTAGCAGTTCCACTGCCTCTGCAGCCCATCTCCGAGAATACAGTCTTCTTGAATGTCCAGCAGGTTGTCAGCGGACACACACCCTCTCATGGCGGGCCCGGCAGCTTTGCCCGGTCGTGCTGGAAGTCCTACGCGGTCTGGAAGATCGAGCTGGTCAAACGACTCCGAGGACAGAATGCTGTCCTCGCTGATGGCGCCACTTGATCTCACCCTGGCGCCCCTGCTGGGTAACGAAACAGTCAGCTGATCCAACGATCCAAACTCCTGCAGCCCATCTGAGGAAAACTTTCCATTTCGCTTGAGGATGCCTTTCCTGTGGGTTGATGCTGAAGGGCACGCTTTAGATTGTGGAACACAGCCAGAGTCACTGTTCTCAGGAGAGGATGAGTAATAGCCAGATTCCTGCTCTGTGGGCTTCTTTAGGATACCTTTGCGAGGTAGCATTGCAGAAGAGGGCTCACGTTCACTTTCTGGAGCGGGTAAACCCAAAATGTTCTGCTGCTCAGCTGAAACCTCAACCGGAGTCTCGCTCGTCACCCTCTGTTTCACACTGTTTCTTCTTTTTAATATTCCTTTAGAAGGCCGAGTGTCTGTAGCCCCTTCATGGATGGGCTGAGAAACATTATTCTCCTTTCGTGACCTACGCACAGAGCGTTGGCGCACCACATCGCCCGCGCCATTGCCCTGCGAGCGGAGCAGGCAGCGCATCTTGGAGCCATTCTCCAGCAAAGGCCTTGACGTTCGTCGCAGCCAGCTGGCGACGCTGGCCAGCCCGGCCGGGTGCTGCGTCGACGGAGAGGCTGTCGATGCTGTCTCCTCAGCTTGGCTGGCCTTTGTCTCGGCCAGGACTGACTGCTGGTAACCCCAGTTGAGCCACCAGTGTCCCGCGATCTCCTCAATTGTAGCTCTGCGCTCAGGGTTTACCATTAGCATCCAACGAATGAGACCACACGCATCTGTCAGGAAGCAAGAGGGGTAAAGATAATGTATTATTTGTCTACAGCATTGGAAATTACATCATTAAGTCATAATCAACAACTCCATTTTGATCCAAAATTATATTCAATGGATGACTTTAATGCTTCATCTGGAATATATCTTGATTCGGCATTCCATCTTCTGATCCAGCATAAAATATGTATCAGTAAGTTTCCAGGCTTGATGACACCAAAAATATTATATTTCAAACCCAAACTTGACGTTTTCCCTTCAATTTGGGCCAGACAATCACCTGGCAAGTATACAAAGAGATCCTGTGGTGGTTTGCTTTGTTCAGTGTGCAAGAAGAGAGTTGTAGCAGCACAACTCATGGCTGCTTTTTCAATTCCCTGAGCATCTGACAGTTCCTGGCGAAGAAAGAAGAAGCCTGCCTACTCATCTGACCTGGCTTGGTGTGATCCCCCCCATCCCTTTTCATTCCCCGGCTCAAGGGGGTTATTTAAAGTGATCCGTTTTAAAGACCTGCACAACATCAAGATGGCTAAGACAACAGAGCTGCAGAGCATCCTGGAAGAGCCATTCCGGGATTTTATTAAAGGCATTGTTCAGAGACTCGGAAAGTTTGGATTTGAAATATAGCTTTTGTGACACCAGCCCAGGATCTCTTTTGGCACACCTCATACACACACATAAACTGTATTAACTTCAGACAAGGAATGTGTTGTTTCTAGACAAAATTTTATAGGAACATCATGAAAAACGATCTACTTTATATGCATAACCTCTGTCTGAGGTACAATAGCAGCTATAAATTATTCTCCCTGTAAAGAAATTATGAAACACTCACCAGAGGGTTTGTTTGGTTTTCTGTAATTTCCAGTGCTGATCTGCTGGACGAGTGACTTGTGGTTGTTCCCATCAAAGGGCATGGTGCCGTGAACCATAGTATACAACAGCACCCCAAGAGACCACGTGTCCACCTCCGGCCCACGGTACGGCCGACCATTTACGATCTCTGGGGATGCGTACAACGGGCTACCGCAGAATGTCTGTAGGTACTCGTCTCCGTGATAAAGGTTTGACAGGCCAAAGTCTGCAATCTGGAACAAATAAAGCGTGAGATAAGACACATTTAATTTTCAGTCGCTTTCGAACTAAAAACCTACCAAATAGATTGGACAAATCTATTGAGTCACACCTTCCACTCAGAACTAATCAATTGGGCACGTGCGCCTTTTCACAAGACTTTTCCCATTGAACACTGCGAGGGTTGTAAAAGCATGCTCAGATGTTTCCAAGCACCTTGGGATGAATTAGAACAGAGAATGTGAGCCAGGTCCTCAACAGAAATGACCTCTGACCTCACAGCACTAATGGACAAAAATGTCCGACAAACACATTTGTTCAAGTCTAATAACCAGGTGTCCCAATACCTTTGTCCGTTTAGAGTACAGTTGATCACTTAAAATCAATGACGTTTTTTGATTTCATTTTTTTTTGGTCTTGGACATAACTGTATAATAAGTTACGGACAGCTGTATACCTTCACGTTGCCATTGCCATCTAGTAAAATATTCTCCAGTTTCAGGTCCCGGTGAACTATTCCATTCTGAAAGAAGAAAAAAAAAAAGTAGTCCATATCAGTTATTTTCACAACATTGCATCTGTGAAATTCCGTACATGACAATCCTTGACATTTTATAGTGTGTTAGTCTACACTACATAAACGGATTATCCCCCCCCCCCCCCCCCCCCGCCACGCCGCATCCCTGCAAGTACTCCCCCCCTTCTTTTCCTGGTGCGTCAGCTATGCTGCATTGTCCTTGGCTCTGTGGGGGGCATGCCTTCCACTAATGTTTGCCTTTTAAAAAAAATGCAAGTCATCTGCTCACTTCTGGCCAGGGACATGCTGTGTAGCACTGTCGATTTGGTATGAAGATCTATTGTCTGCGCATTTTTATGATTCAAAGTTGGGCCAAATATAGCCAACGTTTTACAATGGCCCTTTGTATGAGGGGCCGATAAAAACAAAACAGGTGGTCGATGTGAACATGATAGGTTAATTTCCTGTGTAAATATTATCTAGTCTACATGTCAAGCACCACCACTGAAGCTTTAGCTTTTGGACTGCTGAAGTGGGCCGATGGTGTGCGAGTGTGCTTGTTCTGTTCCATCGCGCCCTCATTAGCGAACGTGAATGTGTGTGTTGGAATGGTTGGCCTTTAGCCCCCCCGCCCCCATTGTTCTCACAGCATCCCCGTTCCAATCAGCCAGCTGACAGTTAATAATGGTCATTATGCAACAGCGGGGGGGTTCCGATGCCCTGGAAGGAACACGAGCCGAGCAATTGGTCTGAGGAGGAGCTCTGCATCATTCATGTACACAGAGCTGCCATGTGGATCATGCAAAAACGCCTGCAAAGTCCAGCTGTCATAACACATGTCCTCTCTGTTGAACTTATGCCTGCAAAGTCCAGCTGTCATAACACATGTCCTCTGTTGAACTCAGTGGATGAACGCGTGAGATTTAAACGCATCTTTACCTGATGGCAGTAGTGCACAGCGGACACAATCTGTCTGAAGAAGTGCCTCGACTCGCGCTCGGATATGTGCCTCCTGTCACAGATGAAGTCGTACAAGTCCCCCCGGCTGGCATACTCCATCACAATCACGATTTTGTCCTTGTTCTCAAATACTGAAAAGAACAGATAAAACCATTTCAGCCAAATACTAATCGAAATTCAATGTACTGACATATGGCACTTCAGACTATGCACAATCTAGTGAGATCCAACAGCTGAAATACAGAGAGGTATTCAGGTAACAATAGTCGCTATGGCAATTTTGGACCCATTTTTGCTATGGCAATATTTGGCCATTACTATCACTTACAGGACTGGAGAGGAATACCACATACATACAGACAGTGTACAGTGCGACACCATGTCACAAGTCACATCCTGAGTGTTTAACTCCCAAATCCGAGTCGAGTCTCTAGTCTTTTAGATTTCTAGCCAGCCAAACGAATTGGGATAAACGCTATGCATATTTGACAAGTGCGCATTGAGGCAATCTCGATTAGGGGAGCTGGAAGACACAAGGCCATGTGCGCTGCCCACAACACTGCCGTTCTGATGCAACGTGGAGTCAGGGACTTATGTAACAGAGCATCAGTTTCTACAAAAGGCTTGCGTGAGCGCACTCAGAAGCCAAACAATCGGAGTCTGATATAAACAGCTCTGTTTACGAGTATCATGTGTCGCTCTTCACGTGTGCGGCCAAACAAAGGCACGACATTCAATACAAAAAAACAAAACAAAAACAAAAACTACACTGTGTACATACCTTCGTATATGGTGATGATGTGCGGGTGACACAGCGATGACATGATCTCGATTTCTCGGCGAATGTGAACCAGGTCTTGCTCATCCTTGATCTTCTCCTTTCTGATGGACTTAATGGCAACCTTTAAAAAGAAGCACAGAGAATATATGAGAATAACATGTCCGAGGCCTGACAATAATTTTCTTTAAACTTATCAGTATTTGCCCATCTGTTCAACGAATCACACATTACAGAGAAAAGACAAGGCTGATTATTAGCAGACCTTGTTAGCAGAACACAGCGATCGGTTTGCAGCTAATGGCTCTCATGAGAACAATTCAAAAGGGAAAAATCTTAAATTAAATAACTATTACCGAATACAAGAATAGTTCACTGATGTATAAAGCTCCTGTGGTAATGATGCTTCAAATACTGGACCCTGAAAAGAATCCTGTAACAAGTACTAAATCGGGTCTTGATAATCAAAGACTTTTGACAAGCCATGTGTTGGATCCGGGATGCCGGGCATTCCTCGCCGTTCAGCCTCAAGGTTAAGAAGCGTCATCATGAGGCACCAGATGGTGTTTGGGATAGCCTTCTTATTTGCGAGGCCTCCGGGCTACCCGACAGACAAGCGGACAAAGCGGAGACTTGACATGTCCATTTCAACCCGGCAATCCTGCCGTGAATCACCGTCTGGGCTGGAGGTGTCGTGTGCGTCAGTGTGGGGCTCACGCCGCTCAGACTCCCTTTCCTGACTTTTGCGAACTCAGATTTCCTGCGTTTGTTTGAATAGCTGTCAGACGGGCCTGCCGGACTCATGATGACTTCACACCCCTGTGAGGTTATCGGAGTGTGTGTGCGCCCTTTGTCACCGGCAGTTTGTTCTACGTACTCGGCACCCACGGCCGAAAAATCTTTGGGGTCCAGTACAAACACTACCAGACAGCAACTGTGCTCCCACCCAGAAAGTGGAAGAACAACAAAGGCATGCCGCTCTCGACCTTATTAGGTTGTTTTGATTTGCTTTTGCAACTCAACACTCTTAACATGTTGGTTTTTTTTTTGTTTGTTTTTAATATGTCAGAAAATGTTGAGTTTTTCCCACTTAAGAATAAATCGTATTTTACATTTGTTTAGCAAATAGAATGCATAGCTTCCATTGTTTTAGGCCATAGATTAGTTGGGGGGGCATTACAAGCATTACATTTTGGATTTATGATGACTTCTTTCATTGGAAGAAATTTGAGGGATTTAATTTGAACTAATTGAGACATTTTTAAAATGTGTTTTTCTCTGCCTACATATTGTCCTCTAGTATTTGTGCATCAGCACTTAGACATCGACCCGTTTGCAAGAGTTTTTTCAGAGTGGGCAAAATACAGAGGGGACAGATTAGCAAACCTGTAAAATATTTTTTTAGAACAATTTCTCCTTGTTCTCTTAAAGGGAATCTATCAAAGAAAGTGAGAGATTCTTTGATGTTTTCCTGTGCACGTGACAAACCAAATTAGTGCTATTACAGCTCTGAGAGCGGCTCTCATCAATGGGTGCTGTGGCTCATTAATTTCAGCAATCATACTTTTTGGGGACATTTGCTTCACTAAAGGCTAGGACGCACTGAACTAGGGTGTAGAGTTTGGGGTTGATCCAAATTAGGATTGCGATGCTTTTAACCCGAAGTCTGTGAAGTGCCATTTTCGTTCCTCTTGTGGTTTTATGAACTCAATGAAGATGAGTGTGGTTCAGATCAAAGTGGCTGCCAGTACGCAGGATGAAGCTATCGTCTTGTCTGGCGCCTCTCCCTGTGTCAAATCACATACGCTGTAGTGCTTTTGTGCTATTATTGGTAGGGCAGGTAAATAAAAACAAAGCAGAGGAATGTTGTATTTATTTACAACTAAGTTAAAGGCTATTTTGCTTGAAGCACATTTAGAGCGGCCACTTGGTACTTATCAGTATTATGACAGCAGGCTCAGCAAGATGTCGGCAGGGGTGATTCGCAGACACCAACTCACATCCTGTGGCGCGTGCGCGCGGGGTCACGACTCAACATGTACTGTGATGTGAGGGACACGACTCAACAAGTAACTGTGACGTGACGAGTACAGGTGTAAGGAGGGAAATTCCAACTCTGTTTGCACTTTCATATCAAAAAAAAAAAAACCCAAAACAAAAACAACTCATAACAATGAGCGTTTCTGATAAACAAGACGGTGGCTTCTCAGACTCGGAGACACTCCCTCGAAACTTTTAGGTCATGAATTGAGATCAAGCAGAGCGTCCGTCTGGAAAAAGGCAGGGGTGGAAACCCCTTCACATTCCAGCCGTAGCTGGGAGAGAGAGATCAGCAAACAGTAAAGGTGTAGACAAAAGGCTCTGGAAATGGAAGATGCACTAACATGGTTACACATTTGGCCACCCTGAGCAGGGTTGTCATAGCGAGAAAAAAAATGCAATTAAAACAAACCAAAGTTTTTAAGAGCCCAAAAACATTTATGGCAGAAAGGCTCATAATATACAGCGGAGTGCTAAACTTGCTACACGGTTGTAACAGTTACAAAGTTATTCCTACTTTATCTACGTTTTCATATTTCTTTTCAAGCAGTCCTGACAGGTAAATCGACCAATGAGGAACTAAGTGGCTACTCAAACAATATTGTAATGCTGAAAAATTCAAAAATGGTCTAAAGAATTCAATACACCTCCATTAATTCAGACGACAATATTAAAGCTGATATGATAAATTTCAGCCAATTTCTGTCAAACCTTTGCGCATTCATTGTCGGACAGTACTGTTTAATTCGACACTTTCATAAAGAACGTCAATGAAATTGGTGGAACGCTTACAAACTTTTATATACAGTGGTGCCTTTTGATAAAAATTTAGTTCCATGACAATCTTTCCCCTTTGAATTGAATGAAAGTGCCCTTAATCTGTTCGGACCTCCCCAACAACCCAAAAATTTTTTGTAACGTTTTTTTTAAAATAAATATCACCACTCAGTCCTACAGACAAAAAGGCATCACTCAGTGACTCAGGAGAGTTTTAGAATCATTTTGTGTGCAGAGGATAAAGAATACATGCCTGTGAGTGTTGATATCTAATCCGTCTACAGGTGTTGCTCGGAGTTTGTGTTCAAATAACCATAGCTTTAAAAGGTAATAACACTGCGAATACAGATGCTGATTGTTAGCGTGCCAATGGCCTTTTCCATTATGTGTTAGCCTTAATACAAGGTTATAGTTTTTGTTTTTTTAATTTACAATGCTTTATTCCCTTTGCTTTGTGTCTAGTTTGATCGTAAACTTAAACTGGGAGTGGCAGCTTACAGTCGGCATATTTTTTTTTTCTTTTCATGATCTGCCAAACTGCTGCAACTTGTGAAGTGAGTTCACTGCCACCTGACAGTACTTGCACGTTTGCTTGCAATACATCTTTATTTATATAGCGCTTTCACAACAGTTGCAGCTGTAACAAAGCCCTTTACAGATTTAATATAAAATACCAAAAACAATGCAACAGAACACATAACATAAAACATGCAGAATAATACAGTCGAAACAACTGTTCCAAGATACGCTTTAAAGTAGTTATAGTGAAAGAGGGGAGAATCAGTCTCTTTCACCAGCGGATCAGAGACGTCATGCTCACGAGTGTGACGTCACACTCGTCTGCTCCAAGCTAAGTTTGAAAATACGTAAACTGTAGCGTCCATTGACGAATAGAGAGATTGGTTCAATTCTCCTGTCCCCTTTAGATCCGCTTCAATTCCGATCTAAATACTGTAGTTGGATATTTTCTCATAAAAATCATAAACTATCCCAGTCGGCACGTGACATCAATTTGAGATTAATTTCATGTTGAAGATTGGATTTTGAGGTCATATTGATGTTGAATTGACGCGAGAAGCCCACTGTTGATACAAATCAGAAGTTGTAACTTGTCTTATGTTAAATTTTGTTTTCATTATTTTCCCAAACTTCCCAGTGATGTGATATTGACTTCTGCAAAGAACCAAGTACACCCCCTAATTTCGCTGAAGTGCCTCACTCACCCAAATGCCTTTCCCGGTTGGTTACAAGCCACTGGGAGGTTTAACGGTTGGAAAGCTTTGTGTGCATTGACTGGTTTAGGAGCATTCAATCTCTTTTTTTGTGTAGTCTTTTGTGATACGAGCACATTCCTCACACGTTTCAGAGTCCGCTGCTACGATCGGGGACAAGAATTGCCTTCAGATTGTGACATAGTGGGACAGATCAGCTACCCAAACATCTACATTGACGCAATATTCTTTTAGTTTTCGTAAAAATGGTGCGATTTCTGACTTTTATCTCAACTGCACTCCGCATGGAAGAACCTTGGTGCAAACGGCCGCTCCAAATACAGTAGTTTTATTTCTTAACAGGTGGCCAAGAGGACAAGAAGCTCTCAGACTATCCCCAATTAAATGTATATGTTGATTAAATCTAAAAAAAATACAATTTATATATAATTAAAGCCTACCAGTCTGCCAGATCTCTCCCTCGCTTTCTTCACTTTGCCATATGTTCCTTTCCCGAGCGTCTCCAGGAACTCATAGCGGTGTTTCAGGTTGTGCTTGTGGTGGTGTCGCTTCACGGCTTGTTTCTTCACCTGGACCGTCGCAAGCACGGCTTTCGCTTCGGCTGGAAGATTCTCGACTGGCGGCCAAGAGCTTGACAAAAGTCGGCCAACACTGGAGCCCTCCATCCTGACCTGACGGAGGACAGAAAAGTGAAACTTGCAAGCACCCAACAGGTACACTACAGCGGGTTGGGAGGCGCATGCTGTTTCGTGAAACGTCATAGAGCCGATGGGCGGATTGAGTGCGAGAAGGAGCGCTTGATATAATGCCGGGTGATGCCGATTTATACATGAAGGGAACGTGTCAATTGAACCTCATTTTATTTTACACTGCGTTTGTCGTTGACCTCCCCTCTTATGTTTTTAGGGTGTGGGAGCGTAACATCCATAGCTTTTCTTGAGTGCTGTACTGTACTGTAAATGGCACACAATTCTATACTTTTTTAAAAAATATAAAACTACGTACGTGGGACGTGCGGGTTCAATACAAGCGCACTGATACTCTTGCGGCACAAAGCACAAGTCAGCTCAACGCCTACTTGCTCAAACACAACCCTTGTGGTTACGATTTTGCGAATGGGAGAGATAAAAACATGTTTGTGAGGCAATCGCGTTTGTAGACCAACTCAAAAAAGCAACGTTCTTTAAAACTTTCATGTAAGAAAATCACCAATTAGTATAAACCCAAATACCATAAGTGTTTTTCAGTGCTATTATGTTTGATTAGGTTGTCTATACTTACTCAAAGTAACAGACCTAAACAGCCAATGGGCATATTTTATGAAAAGAAAAGCCACATCACCAAACAAAAATGTCTCAAAAAGGAAGTATAGTATATGCTGAAATAATAGTCTTTTCTCAACGTCTTGACAAACTGACTTACTTTAAATGCGGGCATGTTTAATCGACCATAAAGCTATTCTGTTGTTTGAATTTCAACAGGTGGCTACACAGATAATTAACTTTAATATGGCGCCTTAGTTGGCAGGCTCTGTTTTTTTTTTGTTGTTGTTTTTGTCTTTTGTCATATGGACCTGTTGTGGACTGTTTCAGCGTTTTGGCCATGACATTTGTTGAATGAGAAGAATCTGTGCTTGATGGTTGTGCCTTCTCAACAGAATGTGCCGCATTGATTTTGAAGGGGGGGAATGTTGGCGCAATTTGACTGTAGCCGCTTGTGTTTTTTTGCGGCAGTAATGGGCATTATTTTTCACAGCCCCGTTTTGTTCAGCGGTGATGTTGGCGCTGTTGGACAGTATGCGTTGGTGGAGCTGAGGATGATGATAGAGGAGCGTAGGCGCGGAGCACAGATACCTTTTTGGGACTGAGAGTCGTTGCATGGAATTGAAGCCTATATAAAATTGACAGGAGAAGTAAACCAATTTCTTTTAACGTCAATGGACGACAGCTTCTTGTTTACTTTCACACTTAGCTTGTAGCCGACGTGTGGGACGTCATGCACGTTTTGAGCATGACATCTCTGGTCCACTGGTGTAAGGAGACTTTGATTCTCTCCTCTTTCACCTGTAACTGATTCGAACAACAAGGCCTATGCAGGAATAGTTGTTTCGATTGTATGACTGTCCATGTTTTAGGTTATGTGTTCTGTTATATTTTATTGTTATTTTATCTAACACTTCTGTAAAGCGCTTTGTTACAGCTGCAGCTGTTGCGGAAACACTATATTGTATACTGTAGATGCATTGTATTGTATTGCATCTTCTGCCATCTAGTGGAAGAACATTTGCTTGTTCGGCCTGACACTTTGAATTGTTGATGTCACTCGATTAAAAAGATACCTTATTTGTAGGTAATGCATGATCATTTTCAGATCAGTTAGGGTTAAAGGCAATAACTTTCCACAACGAACGAAGATCTCTCATGACACACTCGTGTGACTCGGCACAGTGGTAGGAAAACAATTGTCTCAATTTCTCACAATATATAGGTAGGCGTGACAACACTGTCATTGCAGCAACTATCCACAAGAGGGCGGCATGCAGTCATTGCGTCCAAATCGAAATGGTTTAATATAATTCAACTACAGTATTACTCATAATGAAAATTATAAAACGCCATTTATTTTATCGCATATTCCTACATTGTGTATGGTGTCGAACCCTGTTCACATTAAAATTTGTGAGCAGGAGAATTTATTGAATATGACATCCAAAAATTACGTGGGCCGGCCGCATAAATAATTAATTACTTTAATAATTTCTACTTGCACAGTCAAGATACTATGTTGTAACACCTTTATAAATTATAATAAAATATTTTCATCCACAAATGTGTTATTAAAATGAGAATAAAGCATGTACTGTATGTATTTAATCAAATTAAAAATAAATAAATACACGAACGTGTTGATTCATAATGGAATAACACGTGTGTGATTCTAATTCAAATTAAATAATTACATACATACAGGTGTTATTCCGATTTGAATTAATACATTAAAAGTTTGAATTTTAATGAAGCAGTTACAACCGTAGTATGAACATGTAATTCATTGTAACTGGAAAAAAACATGTATTTATTTATTTACAATTATCATGAAATACATAAATAACGTTGTAATAATGTATTTAATTTTGGCTCTTTTGAGCTTTCCATAATGTTGAAGGTGCTGTTTTTGTAATTCCGCCAGTTTGCCAATAGAGGGAGCTAAATAATACATGGAAATTCGACACAACGGCATCATTGTAACGCTTGCACAGTTACGGTGCGTGTTTAATGTTCACCCTAACAAAATGTGTTAATGATGACAATATATTTAATCTGCACGATTGTGTGCGTGATTAATTTGAGCGAAGGGAAGTCGAAAAGTTCCACTTTATTTTCTGGGAAATGAGGAAATGCAACAAAACAAAACGGCATGAGCCTACATTTCCCAGAGTGCCTTTCCCTACCGGGACCCCGCCCTCTATTTTCCATAACTTCAATCTGACGGATTTTCTGTTTTGCTGTGATTTGATGGTTTGTACGTTGCGGCAAGACTTGCTCCCTCGTACGGCACCACATGAGACCACCTTTTGCTTCCTCATCGTCCCCGAGAGACACTACTTTCATTTTGGCGCCGTGTTCGGAAAGATGTACGTTGGTTCGTCTCGGTCGGCGGCACTTTAGGAAGATATTTCTACCCGAAGCGTCACTCGGAAAACTTCCACGTTTTTTGGGGTTGCCGCCTTGAATCGTTTTGGTCCACAGACTGCGAGGTCAAAGAGGTGGTTATCCCCGAACTGTATGGCTGTCACGTTGTTCCAGCGCGGTCTTCCTGGACATTAACGGCGATGATTGTCGTGTCAGGCCAAGACGAGGGCGAACAGGCATTGCCAACCGGCTAACAACGCTAACCCAGGCGGGGATTACCATGTGGGCGATCACAGTTTAGAACATTTCTCGACTCCCCCCGTCAACCTCCCACTGCTCTTGAAAAACATATCTCACGGGCCTCCAACGACTGACACAAAATGCAGACGTAACGACGGATGAAGTCGGTAAGCTAGCTCTTGTTGTCGCTGCGATGTCGCACAAACTAGGAGCACACAAATTTGCAATGGAGGGGAATGTGCAGCAAAAAAGCACCCCCCTAACTCGGGAGCTCACACGGATATTCAGCAGCTACAACAAACACTCCGCTCTGCTCAAGAAGAACCTCAAGGAGACCAATGCCTTCTTCCGGGAAATCAGACAGAACTACAGCAACGCGTGTGCATCAGCCATGAGCTCGGAGTCCGCTTCTCTGGAGGCAGGTGGGTCAACATCCAGCCTTCTTCAGCATCCTTGCAAACACAGACTTATTTATTGTGCTTATCGATTTGTATATGCCAGTGATTCCCAACCACTGTGGGAAATAATCCAATTTCCCAAAGTTCTGTAAAATATGCTAATTTAACGCCCTCTTTGTGCACCTATTTATGCTTGCAACATATAGTGACAGGAAGAATAATTCCATGCTCTCCAACGAGATGGCAGAATGTACAGTTAACCTGTGTATGCACCTGTTGCCATTCATCCAACAGAATGCAGTGGTGCCTAGAGATGTCAGACCCCACTTGTTTTTTTCAACTGGGCTTCTGCAGGTCATTAAAACATACTGAAAGTCATTAAATAGATATGGTGATATTAAGGCTTTGAATTACATTAAAAACATTAAATAAAATGTCCAGAAGCATGAATTCAATTAAAAAAAACATTGATAGGCTGCCATTCATAGTTGGCACCAATCAAGATTGGTACAACTCTCAGAAGGGTCAACATCAGCCTTTTACACTTTTATGTTAATGAGTATGGTAAACATGATTTTTTTTTTTTTTTTGTTAATTTGTAACAGATATAAAATGTGTGATTAACTGGTAATTAGTGATTCATCACGAGTTAACTATGGAACTCATGCGATTAATTATGGTTAAACATTTTAATCAACCGGCATCCGTATGTATGTAGATATGTGTGTATATGCTGTTGGACTTGTTTTGTTTATTTTGTTGGACATTTGTTTTAAGTTGCATAGCAAAAAACCCCAAAAATGTTAAATTAGATTTGATGATAGCTGCAGAACCCCTGTTCAAAATATGAGCCATCATTTGGAAGATTTTTGGCCTTGTGAGCAAAAATTTGAGATACGAGAGTAAAAATGTTAAATTAGATTTGATGATAGCTGCAGAAACCCTGTTCAAAATATGAGCCATCATTTGGACGATTTTTGGCCTTGACTTGCGAGCAAACATTTGAGATACGAGAGCTGTAAGGTGGCAGTGAAGTCAGTCTCACTTCACAACAAGCAGCAGTTTGTGGAAAAAAAGAGGCTTAACATTGTTAATTGCCACTCCCAGTTGAAGCTTACTGTCAAACAAAGCAAAGAGGAATCCACGTTTGTTTACAATAGCTACTTGGCTTTGCTATCGGAAAGTCTTGTTTCAAGCTTTTGTCAATTAGATTGCGCATGTGAGCTCTGCTGTGACCAATTTAGTAATTTCTTCTAGATGTGATGTGTTGCTCGATAATGACTTTAAAAATGTCCACTTTCAAATGCCGACTGTATGTTTTGTCTCTTTTTCTCCACCCCGAGTGACCGCTACCTGTGGCTAAAGACTTAAGCGCTTACTGATATCATGCTCGCCCAAAAGATCGAAATAACTCTTTTCGGCTTGCACGGAACAGTGCTGAACATTAGATGAGTCATACTCAACAGAAAGCATGGGATAAGGCTCCCTTTTATGGGAGCAGCCGAGCACGTGTCCTCACTTTCTAAAACACTAGATTCATCCGGCCTGACATATCTTGACATAGATTTGCATCACATGGTGCCAGGCGATTGTTCTACAATTTAGTCCGCTTGTTTCACACCGACAACGTTTGAGCAAATATGAGCTGTGTTTGATCCGGGAATGCGTACCAATCACCGTAAACGGTCAAGTAATGGGTTATTATGGAGGTGAAATGGAAAAAATGTGTCGCCTTGTGCTACTTTCTGGTCCTTATGTAATTGTCTGCAACCCTGCTGAGTCACGCTGACGCTTAGTGTGATAGCCTTTTACAATGACTTTGAGCCTCGTAAATATTTGATGCAAATATTTAATTACATGTTTATCTGTCTATTTATTGCATCTTCTACTCTGTGATCCTGTAAAATTCCCCCTCAAAGCTTAAAGGGATCACATGGAATTTCTCTGCCTTTTGCACAAAACGCAGCAAAGCGTGAAACGGTGGAACCTTGACTTACGAGTTTCCTGACTTGGGAGTTTTTTTTTAGATACTTCGGCGACTCATCTGCAGTATTTGTCAACGATGTGTTTATTTTTATCTTTTTTTTCTTCTTTTCTTCATAACATTGTGCTTTTACTTATTTAATTTTTAACCATGCACTCATAAAAAAGGGAAGTACAACTTCGATTTTCGGCTGAAATGAATTTATGGTGTTTCCATTGATTTCAGTGGGACGACTGTTTCAAGGTCTGACTGTGGTCACAAAACGAATTCAACCAAGACAGGGAACGAAAAACGTTATTAATATTGTGCGTGCTTCACAGAATGACATCGAATCCCACGATTGGATAACGAGATGCATGATGCCAAAACTGTAGAAAGCTTTTCCTATGGTCTCTCTGTCTTGCAGATGTTAAGGCACTGTGTGTGGATCTTGAACGTATCTACCATACCACGATAAATGGTGGTTCACTGTAGCGATGGACATAATGATTGATTACCGTTTAACAGACTTTCTTATTTTGTGTCTCTCCACAGGGCAATTAAGCTGCATCGCTTTCCCGAGCCACGAAGAAGAGTTCCTGCGCAACACTGTGGGCGCTGCCCCATACATCTTGGTGCTCGGGCAGAACTGCACTGCCCGCTATCAGCTACTCAACTGCCTACTGGGCGAGAGACTGCTGCCGCTGGGCCCCGAGGCCGGCGAACCTTGCGGAGGTGTCCAGGGCACCCCGTGCAAGAGGCGGAAGTTGTGTTTCACCCACGGGAGACAGACGCGACTTAGTCTGGCGCTGCCCGGCCAGTACGAGCTGGTGCACCAGTTGGCGGCGAACCGCGGCCGTTGGGATACGGTGCCACTTGAGGACCTGGAGATCCACGAGGAATGCGAGGACCCCGCACACAGGCTCGCTGAGCTGGAGATCACCCTGCATCACCCTTTACTTCAGGTAGGTTTTTAGGAACTGAATCGCCATCGGTTTACAACATCCCCTTTACTTTCGGCTATTGATGTAGAGCAAATGAAGCGGCCTCGGGAAATGTCATTCGATTTGAGCAAAATCACACATGAACATCCCCACAAGCTTCTATTTATTTAGACTGAGTTAATATTTGAGGAATGTTTGGAATTTTTTCACTTTGCAAACAATGGATGAAATCCAATTGTTGTTTGAAGAGTGACATGTTTTCTTTCCACGTGCGTTTTTATGTCTAGCTGTATTTTGCTGTCAAGTGGAACCCCCTGTAGATAACCATAATCTATTCTGTGATGATTTTCCTCTTCCAAGTTGTATTTTCAAAATTTTTCCCTCTCTCGTTGATATTTGGAATTAATCCTTTCCCAAGGGTTTGAATGTTGACATCATATAAACGTGCCGGCAGCATATATAAATATTGTTAACTGTCATAATTGTTCTCATCTGTGTAATAAAACCAAATGTAAAAAAAACAAAAAACAAAACATATTTCACAGCCAGAGTCAACATGAAAATAAATATCAATAAAGCACCGTGGACTGTGCAGTCCAACTTAACAAACAACAATAGAAAATTTTATCTGCACTCACTCTTTGGCGAAAGGCTGATGAACAGGAAAGGGGAAGGCATTATGCTGTGTGCCTGGCAGGTGAGTCTTTTCTCACTAGCCTGTTAACCCCTCTAAACAGCTGACTATGGGATGTACACTATGAAAACTCTACAACCCCCCCGTTCGTATGTGGATGTTGGTACAAGCGAAATAGTCAGCAAGAGATTTGTCTACGGTGTTGCCAACTTAGCAGAGTTTTGCTCTATTTTGTGACTTTTCCAACTCCTCTAGCAACTGTTTTTCCATAAAAGAGACCAAAACAACAACAACAACAACATCCTAATGTTCTTAACATTTCCTGCACATTGGAGGGGAGCAGGCCTGGAGGATTTGGCCTCATAATACTGTATGCAAATCTCCAGTTTCCTAGACTGTCCATTTTTGGGTGTAGAGTTCTCTATTTAAAAAAAAGACACTATTAATTTTCTCAATGCATTAAAAATACTAAGTATTGAATAAAGTTGAGGTTAGCATGTTGACTTGGCCCTTGGCAAGCATTCCAGTTTCTCATGTGGCCCATTTGCAAAGCTAATTGCCCACGCCAGTGTTAAATGGTAGTCGGGATACAACGGCCACTATTTAAAATGACCCCGATTAACCCCAAATAAAATTCAGCTTTTCTTGTAGGCTTTTGGACATTTTTTTTTCTTTCTCACGAAAGTCTGAAGGTTTTGTGAACTTTTGGAACCGTTGAAAATTAGGCCCCAGTTGCAGCTGAAGAAAAACATCCTCAAAATCTAACGCCGCCGCCACCACTTTTGATATATTGTCGGGAGATTGTTGTCACATGTACGAAACAGCCGATGCCTGCCAGAAATCTCTCCTCAAGCTTCAATAATCTCCTTGTTGCTATTGGCCTCGAGGCAGCCCAACTGACCAGTTTTCCTCTTGTTTTTTCATCCATTTTTAGAGGGAACCCCCACTCCATGGGTCGTGTCACTCTTGTCCCATATTTTCTGGACTTTCTGATGATGTCACTGTGCTCCATGAGATATGTCATGCCTTGGAAATTGCGGCGTTAAGCTTCAACGTCATTACTTCGTCAAAGTCTCACAAGACGAGTCGACATCTCACATGATGTCAGGCACGATGGTGGTTCGACCTAATTTTCTGCTTGACTTATGAGGCCTATTTTCCCCCCCATCATGGTTTTGGTTTAAATTTAAATCATGCGGTTTTAGTAACATTCTAATTAAGAAATCTTGTCGTAAGTGATGGTCAATTCAACAACCACCGTCCACAACGAATACAATGTGCTTTTGTTTTCTAGAAGACTGTACATGCCTCACTTCTCTTGGCTAACTGGTGAAGCGATGTGGGAAAAGTTTAGTATTCTTGCTCACAGTTTAACAAACCGACTCTGATGAAAGCCGAAAATCCCAATGAGCTTGGGGAAGTGAATCGATTTTGGAATGGCCAGTGCTCAGTCACGTGTGACGCGGAAAATTTTTGTCATCCAGACACTCCAAACCACTCGTGTCAAACTCGGAGACGCCAGGCCTTGTGCCTGCCCCTGGGCAGCCCACCCGCCTAACCCCCTTACGTAATGCTGCTGGTCTGGTGTGATTCACATGACTAGGTTGTGTCGGGGGGGGAAGGAAATTCCCTTGGTTATGAAGAAGTTGCCATAGATACAACAGAATCTTCGGCATCTGGAAAAAATGTTTTGTACCTGTGTAGCGAGAAAAGTGACATGGTGCAAATTTCCGGATAAAATTGGCATTATTCGCTATTGCCTTTGGGCCTCAGCAATGAAAAATAAGTTGAAAGTCACTGCTGGGATATTTTTCATTGCTGTTCAGAATCACATGTTGTTTCAAATACGAGATCCCTTATTTGGGTCACTGCTAGTTTTCACTCTGATCTTGAATTCTTTATCAAGAGATTAGGAAAAAAACATTCGATTCTGATTCCAATTTTGTGCATTTGAAGTTGATGAATGTCGTCAGCCGGCGCTGATGGAAATGCCTGGATGTTTTGCTTTCAAGAAGCTGTGGAAGATTTTCACGCGCCAGTTAATGAGCACATGTTCCTTCTTAAGGACTAAACCAGCCTGAGGTTTCTGCTCAATGAAAGAGAGATTAGTGTGTTGTTGGTCAGTTTTGTAGAGCACAGAATCTCTCTGCTCACTGCGGTATTCGCACGCTGCTGCCACAGTCGCGGCCCCCTGCAGATGAAGGAGACACTTGCTAATTAGTTAGTCCTCCTCGTCTCAGTGTGGCTCTATTTTGGCACCCAAAGGACAAAGGGTCCTGAGCTGTCGCCATATTTCTTTTAAACGTACATAACAGCGCTCCACGAATACACCCAGGACAGCTGATGCCCGCAACTTTATCTTGGTGAAACAATGAAATAGTCTTCGGTCTAGAAGTGCTCGATAATCATACTGGGTCATACTGTAAGCAAAAATCCATAAAAAAATTTTTTTAAAAAGACTCCTTTTATTTTGGACTTAGTAGGACCTTCACGAACGAACCTTTTTAAAATCGATTACCCCTCGCACTTTCCCGCCTTGGCTTTCGCATCGCCCGCTTCAGCGTGCCTCAAGCTTACAAATAACACTTCTGTTTTAAAGAGATTCAAACACTGTATTTCTCTGGATGCTTGCAGGCTATCTTTGTTCCAGAAAGGCGGCTCAGTTCGTGTTTCTTGGGGATGGCACTGACTGTCTCCTTTGTGTTGCTATGTCTGCCCCTTTACCATCACGACCTCTGTTTTTATTTATTCTGCAAATCTCCAGTAGGTAACGGTCGCTGCCTTTCCACAGATACAGCTTGAATTCACAGTGGAATCGGACATAATCAGTTCATTCTGTACGTTTACATAATGAAAATTTGATTTTGTCCTCAACTCAACTCAACTGTTATTTATAGAGCACTTTCAAACAGACATTGCTGCATACAAAGTGCTGTACATGGAGCAACTAACATATATACAACAATAAAGCATATATATATATATATATATATATATATATATATATATATATATATATATATATATATATATATATATATATATATATATATATATATATATATATATATATATATATATATATATATATATATATATATATATATATATATATATATATATATATATATATATATATATATATATATATATATATATATATATATATGTATGTATGTAACTGCATATACAGTACATGCAGATACAAATAATGCTCAATTGAAAATTACATTTTTGTCTGACAAAAATGTTGTCCCCCTAAACTACAAAGTACACGAATGAGCAACCAAGAACAACCGCAAGAAAAGAAATACTGTTGTAGTTGTCATTTACATTTTGCCTCTTGACACGTTTTCTTTTAGCGAGCTCGAAGTGGGGCTGCTATTGGCTAGCAGTAATGCATATTTACCACTTTAGATTAAGGTAACCAAATGGTTAGCATTCTGGACACGTTCAAAAGCCAAATATGCACTCTGTGTTCTCATTTTGCTCTCCACTCTCTGTCAAAGGAGATAATCTCGTTCTTTAGCTGAATGTTTGCCAACATCGACTTTGTTCGAGACTTCTTTTTTAAATGGCTGCTTAGTGTCAAACGGTTCGTCATAAAACAACAATGAGGTAAAACTGAATGAGCTAAAACTGCGTGTGTGCCATAGCATAGTAACCAGCAATTATCATTCATTTAATTAAATTTTTAAAAATATTTAGCTTAGAATTGCAGCTGTACAGTTTTTTTGTTTACGTCACTTTTCTTATCAGATTGACTTACATAGTTACACTTGTAGGGTTGGTCGATGTCCCCTTAAACTACATTTTTAAATTATAATAAAAAAAAAAACAACTATCCTATACAGTCATAAAAAAAGTTGACGTTACATAGATATAATTGGCTTGACTGGATCCGTCGATATTTGGCATTTTATGCACATTTTTTGATCGGCTGTATCACCTTTAAGTATGATCTTTAATTCACATCATTGATCGGCTCCGTTAAATAAAATATCCCAGCTGAAGTGGTTTCCACATATACATTTACTGCCTCAACTTAATTTTAGCCGCTACTAAAAGATATTGGCACTACCTGTCACTATGTAACTGTTGTAATAACTTTTATTGCCGCGCGGAAAGTGCGAGTCTGCTAATCGATACCAGTACCCATTTCCTTTGTGGGATGATACTGCAAATACAGTGCCTCAAATGGCAGAGGCTAACGTCTTGCCATTTGCAAGACATCCATTCATTTATTATCTGAACCGCTTATTCTCAGCGTGAAAACAATTTTGCTCACTTCTTTCTTAGCCGAGGTCTTCCCTCTTTGAAGAGACTTTAAAGCAAACTTTTTTTTTTTCTTTCAAAATGACCGAAGAAACTGTCCCTAAAATTACGTTTCGTTCAGCTTCTCAAACGAATACACTGACATTTACGCCTCATGCCTGCTTCACAATTTTATAAGGTTGTGTGGAACTGATCTGGAATCTGGGTTAGTATGTACGGTAATTACCTCGGCCAATGAGGTTAAATTCATTGCGCTTTTCCCATTAACCGGATTAGGTAAAAACGTAATCTGATTTTATGAAGCGTTGTGGATGACCCTTTACATTGAGACGATATTCTAGGAAGTTTGTTTGTTACACTGTTTTATTTAAAGTCGCTGTTAAGTGAAAGCAAATGTCTTTGACACGCCACAGAAAAAAGTGGTAGTAACCCTGCTTGATTTAAAAGATGAAAACAAATCAATATATTAGTGGTATTGAATACTGATTGTGATAATACACTGCAATGTCTGTTTTACCGGTCTTTGTTTTTATATGTCTGATTTGACTCCATGTACAGCACGTTGTATGCATTTTTTTTTAGTGCTCTCTAAGCAAACCCTGACCGAAGTCAAACCTGAGTGTATGTCGCAGGACCAGCCAAACTATGACCAAAAAAATGGGACTTCAAGTCCCAAAAATCTGGAACTTGTATTTTTGTACTGTATGATTTTGCGGGGAGCTCGGAAGAAGGGATGTGCATTTCTGGCCATCAGTTTAGTTGTAAATGCCCCCAAATTTTTGTGTTTCCTCATCAGGAAGCAAAGGTCATGGTGGTGCCTTGTGCGAGCGTCCAGCCTATGGAAGAAGCCCTCGAAGACTGCACTCGGAACGTGATCCCTATCATACTGTATGCCACCAAGGAGGATTCCTTAAACGCGGAGCAGGTGGCCGAGCTTTGGAAAGCCAAAGAGATGCTCTCCTTTCCCATCTGTTTCATCCGCCTCCCCGACACGATGCCCGCAGCCTCGCCGGAGCCCAGCCGCCGCGCAGAGAAGGACAAGGAGCGGGAGAAGAGCGCTCTCCATAAGCAGCTGCTCTCCCTCGGCTTTCTTAGCGGCCCGACGGGAAATTGCTCCTGCGGGGCCCCCACACAGATGCCCGTCCCGGGTGCCAAGCCGCAAAGCATGCTTGGTGAAGCCTTCGAAAGATTACACAGGCTGCTGGTGCCTTTTACACGCCAGGTGCTACAAAACCAACAGGTGGAGGCCGCCAGCCTGCTCAACGGGCTCCACTGTCGCTGCCTCGATCTTTTCATAAACCAGGTCGGATAAGTTCTGCCTGATAAACATATGACCGTTAGTGGCAAGAGCTTGACGTGCGCATGAACCAAACAGTAAGCAGCAGCATTTGTCCTTTCTGACACCCCTCTCCCCCCCACCCCTCCCTGCAGGCCTTTGACATGCAGAGAGACCTGCAGATAACCCCCCGCAGGCTGGAATACACCCGTGAGAAAGAAGGGGAATTGTTCACCTCCCTCATGGCGATTGCTAACCGCAAACAAGAAGAGATGAAGGAAATGATTGTGGAGACACTTAGCAGCATGAAAGAGCAATTGCTTGAGGATGCTGCCAACTTGGAGTTTACGGGTGAGTTAGTTTACACCAGGCGAGCTATGAAAAGACCCACTTGTCTTTATGCTCGCAGTCTCATAAAAACAACCTCATAAATATCACCGTTTGTTTGCCAACATTTGACCTTATTTAGACAATTGCACCCCACTGTGAAGAGAAGTCTAGCGCAGCCATCTTCTTGGCGGACTTCGGTCCGGGTCCGGTCTCATGCAGATTCACAGTCACTTGCTATGAATCAAGATAAAGAACTCCATGTATGCGGTCACACTGCAATTTTTTGCCCCCTCTCCCAATCCATTATCACAGACAGTGTACGGGCTGTTGTGGTCATGTGACTAAAATGAGCCAATAAAACCGTTTGGTTCCCAGAAGAGATTTTTAAGGGATTTGTTGGAAAGACGCAACAAATGAATGTTTAACGTTTCAGTCCTAAAGGAATATGTCAGTCTTGTAGTTGATCACATGACGTTGGCAAGCTGAGCCGTGATTGGTCGTTACCTCAGCGCCGAGCAAATCGGATGGCATTTTCAGTCGACAGCAAATGGCGAAATAGGCCGCCCCCTGAGATGGACAAAAACGGGGGGAATTTGCTGTTTCATTCATATTCCACAAGCGCAATATTAATCAGAATGTTCTGTTGGACAAGTGGGGGCGTGTACAACAGTGCAGTGTAAGCCACGTTTAACCTTTTCATGCACCCAGTAACCTGAGAACATGATAAGCTGTCCACTGTAGTAACCACTGTCCCTGAAAGGGTTTAAAATGGACACATTACTGTTTTTATAGGATTGGAAACATTTTGTAGTGGTTTTTTTTTTTGTTTTTGTTTTTTTAAACTGGATGTCTAGCTGTTTTAGAATGGAAAGGGTTTGCCCTGTAAGACTGTGGTTGTGACATGGCAGACTAATCCTCTCAGGTTATTCGGGGGGAGGGATGCTATTACTAGCTGCAATTTTAATCTGAGAGAGGAGGGGTAGATGTGGGATCAGAAGGGGGCAAAAAAATTGCTTGATATTTTTTAGCATACCATATGAAGTGTTTCCAACGATCGCTGCGATAAAACATCATCAATTCTCGAATGCTGGTTGCCTTCTGATTTATTCACATTCATATTACGTAAAAGCATATTTAAGGCGATACTTCATATATGCATGCCATTTGCAGCCATAAAAAGTTTAGATTTTGTCTATAATTTGTTTTATAACTTCATTTTTTTTTGGTGTGCATTTAATAACTTTTAAATCTATTTTAAAAATAATATAGCGAGCCGCCATGTTCATTAAACACATCACGGGATCATAAATATCACTATCTTAAGTGACATTTCAACATTCTTGACAGTCATACAAGCCTAAAGAATGTATTCACGCCAACCGTTATGAAAGCGCTACATAAATAAAGATGTATTGTATGACAACAAGAACTAAAATAAAAAGTACTGAACTGACCCTTGGATGCGTAGCATACTGCAAAACGTACACGGATGATTGCCAAAGGCGAGTTCACTTCATGCATTGCACTTTTAGAGAATAAAGATTCTTAATTGTCATAAAAATATAAAGAAGTGTTTCATGCACACACACACACACACACACACACACATATGAAATGGAAAGTGTATGTAATTGCTAACTTAAAGTGCTGTTCTTTTGCTTGACTGCAGACATAATAGTCACAGCCAATGGCGAGCCTGTTACGTCAAAGGAGATCAAGTCTTGCATCCACCAGATCCAGGAGCTGATTGTGTTGCGTCTGAATCAGGCTGTGGCCAACAAGCTCATCAGCTCTGTGGACTATTTGAGAGAGAGTTTTGTGGGAACACTGGAGCGATGTCTCAGCAGTCTGGAGAAGTCCCACATCGACTCGTCCGTACACAACATCACCTCCAATCACCTCAAACAGGTGCGCAGACGTTAGTCGTACATCACGCAGAAGAAGAAGCAGACAAGTAACAAACTCAGTGTAACGAACTATGGATGATCGCAACTAACTCATGTAATCTTGCCCTGTGTATCTGTTCTAGTTATTGAACGCTGCCTATCACGTCGAGGTCACCTTTCATTCGGGATCTTCCGTCACGCGACTCGTGTGGGAGCAAATCAAACAGGTGACCCATTTGAGAAAACGTCACATCTGGAACCAACGTGGCGATCCGCGCCTCCAGGGTGATCATGTGCCTCTTTCAGATCATCCACAGGATAACATTTGTGAACCCACCTGCCATCTCGCACGAATGGAAGCGCAAAGTGGCACAGGACGCCATCGAAAGTCTCAGTGCTGCCAAATTGGCCCGAAGCATCTGCTCCCAGTTCAGAACGCGCCTCAACAGCTCCCATGAGGCTTTTGCAGCATCCCTGCGTCAGGTTAACATGTCCACGTCTCCTTTTGGTCCTTGCCCCTACATTTACCTCAAATACAGAAAATCACTTACCATCTTTACAACCAGCACTCTGAGAGAACAAACCTCAATTCACTGATTGAATTCTCGAGGATTTTCTTATATTGACTGTAAAACTGTGTTTCATTCGTGCGTTGTCTATTTTCTCCATCCATCCTAGTTCGCAAGGTCATCCTGAAAAAAACTAATATGCTGCTTAAAATAAGCTCCGCCTCGCTCTCCTTGCCTCTCCATCTGTGAATAATTATCGAGTATCGAAGCCGATTAACCTACCAAAGCAACAAAGACGACCAGATATATCTATCTATCTTGCAAGCTAGCTAGCTAGATAGATGAATGATTGAATGAATAAAGATAGCTAGCTAGCTGGAGGAAGGCCGCACTGTGCTAGCTAGCTAGCGATCAGCTGGAGGAAGGCCGCACTGTGCTAGCTAGCTAGCTATCTTTATTCATTCATTCATTCATTTATTTATTTATTTTACGTCATTCATTCATTCATTCATTTATTTATTTATTTTACAATGTCTAATGCTACCGTGAGGATACTTGAGTTGAAAATTTGCACTTGAAAGACCGATTGAAATTGTTATTCAAATGTTCCAAAACAGTGCTTATCAAGCAAGTCTAATGGACTATGTTTGTTCATAAAAGGAAACCATACTTGAATTTTGAACCTTTTAAAATAATTAACTAACTAACTAACTAACTGTAAAAGTTTTGTTCGCATAAAAGGAAACCATACTTGAATTTTGAACCTTTTTAAATAACTAACTAACTAACTGTAAAAGTTTTGTTCGGTCCAAAAGGAGCTGACACATTTACAGTGTTTCAAAGAATTTGATTTGTCTTAATCTTTTTTACGTTTAAACAATTTCTCGTTTTGTAACCAATATAAATGACTGTTTGAATAATCGTGATTTCAATCAATGCCTACATAAACGTGATGAATATTTTTTTCATAATCGAGCAGCCCCCTCATCTGAAACCTGCTGCAATCCAGTGCCGGTGTGAACTTGGCTTCAAAGCCGCTCTCATGCCAACTTCGAGGGTCTGCAGCAAGACGGATGAGAGCACAAACCTGTAGGAGGGAATTTCTGAAAAGGGATGCTTGGACAAACATTGATTTATGGTGGCTGTCGACTTAGAAAAATAACATTCATCCCTGTAAGTTTGTGTTGGCGAGGAAGGCCGCATTTATTAATTTGACAAACGACCACAACGTCCGGGAGGTCAATACTGCTTGCCGGTGAGAAATGGGGGGCGCCGTGGTGATCAAGTTACAATTAATTTGTTTCATAAAAGGAACCAGCCAAGCCACCAAACATGGCAAATCTTTGTTCCAGAAAACGCACCGCAGGGGTTGATGAATGGAAGTCATCATGACAAACAACAACTTGTGAATGCTAACCCAATGGCATTTTGTGTGTGTCCGCTCGCAGCTGGAGGAAGGCCACACGGGGCGATTGGAGCGCACCGAGGACCTGTGGCTGCGCGTAAGGAAGGACCATGCCCCACGACTGGCCCGCCTCTCACTGGAAAGCCGTTCCCTCCGAGACGTGCTGCTGCATGGTGAGCAGGCTGATAATCGTTACATGTTACCACGTTTTTGTTTGTTTTAATTTGTTTTTAGACCAGGTTTTTAATTTTAATGCTTCATTTTAGTTGAATTTTTATCGGTTTATTTTGAGTTGTTTTTTTTTTTTTTAAATATATGGAATATTTGTCAGGTGCAAGATTAAAAATAAAAAGGTAAATAAGTAAGGTGAAAGTAAAATTTGTGACTTGACTTCCCCATCAACATTCCTTTTCGCCCATATTCTTTTTTTTTTCTTTGTAACAGATGACGTTTGTCTTTTCTAACAGGTAAACCAAAGATAGGCCGTGAGCTGGGCCGCGGCCAGTACGGAGTGGTGTACTTGTGCGACAGTTGGGGGGGCCGCTACCCATGTGCCCTGAAGTCTGTGGTGCCACCGGATGATAAACACTGGAACGACCTGGCTTTGGAGTTTCACTACACAAGGCGAGTTCGGAACATCAGAGAGTCTCGAGCATTTTCTTGGATTTCAAAAAGTCCGAACGGTCTTTCTAATTCTTTTACACGCGAGTTGAGCCGTCTTTAAAAGCAACCCTTCATATCATGTGATCAGTGCCCTTGCAACACCTCTGTTTCTAAAAATTCCAATTTGGGGCTGTTGATGCTTTTCTGCGAAGGCGTCAGCGGATTGTGCCAAGTGTCTTCTCCGCACGTGGTTGCTCGAAGCGTCACAAAGCTGAGTAATGCGAAGCCCGCTTACCAGCTGGACTTGCGGTGACAACAAATGACACTTTGTGCTTCAGGTCGCTGCCCAAGCACGAGCGGCTCGTCGACCTCCACGGCTCCGTTATCGACCACACATACGGGGAGGGCTCCAGCATTGCCGTGCTGCTCATCATGGAGCGTTTGCACCGAGACCTCTACACCGGCCTCAAGGTGACACTAAAGAGTGCCATAAACCATACATGGCAATTTTCCGCGGATCCGCGGAAATCTGCCGTTTTATTTCTTAAATTGATCATTTTTGTGAATCGTCTAAATCCGTGGAGAAAATTTTAGGGGCGGTCAGGTACCTTATCGTCGAGTTTTCACGAGCTCTCCCGAACAGTCTCTCCGTTTTCCGTTTGTAAACAGCCCTGCGATTGGACGTGTATGAAAGCTTCAACTAATCAGATCACTGAAGGCATTATTTGTTGCGGAAGTCTTAGCTCGATTATAAACGGCCCAGCGATTGGTTAACTACAAGCGATTGGACCAATCAAATTGCATGTAACATATTGTTTTACC